AAGTATGAACCTTGAAGTTGAGCAACTTGATGTGAAAACCGCATTTCTTCATGGTGATCTTGAAGAAGAAATTTACATGGAGCAACCGGAAGGTTTTGTAGAAAAAGGGAAAGCGAAATTTGTTTGCAGATTGAAGAAAAGTCTGTATGGCCTCAAGCAAGCTCCGCGGCAATGGTACAAAAAATTTGACTCTTTCATGATGAATAATGGTTTTTCTAAAACCACTTCGAACCATTGTGTGTTTATGAAAAAATTTCCGGATAGCAAATTTATTATTCTTTTGCTTTATGTTAATGACATGTTAATTGTGGGTCAAGATTCTAGCATGATAAACAGGTTGAAATTGGAGTTGAGCAAGTCTTTTGCTATGAAAGATTTGGGACCGGCAAAGCAAATACTTGGTATAAAAATTACTCGTGATCGCAAAGAGGGGTTGATTTGGTTGTCTCAAGAAAGCTACATTGAGAAAGTTCTTGAGAGGTTCAACATGAATAAAAGCAAAGCTGGTTGGGTGTCCACTTGCAGGTCACTTCAAGCTTAGTTCGAATCAATATCCTACAAGTGAGAAAAACAAGGAAGAGATGCAAAAAATTCCTTATGCTTCAGCAGTTGGTTCTTTAATGTATGACATGGTTTGTATAAGGCCGGATATTGCTCACGCTGTTGGTGTGGTGAGTCATTTTCTCTCTAATCTGAGTAAAGAACATTGGGCAGCGGTAAAATGTATTCTAAGATATCTTTGAGGGACTTCGAAGGTGTGTTTGTGTTTTGGGGATGGCAAGCCGATGCTTGATGGGTTCACAGATTCTAACATGGCCGGTGATATTGATTCTAGAAAATCTACCTCGGGATATTTGATGACTTTTGCAAGGGGAGCTGTGGCATGACAATCTAAATTAAAAAAATGTGTTGCTCTCTCAACTACCGAAACTGAATTTTTTGCCATTAAGGAAGCTTGCAAAAAAGAGTTATGGTTGAAGAAATTTTTGCAAGAGTTGGGTTTGAAGCAAGAAAGGTATGTGCTTTATTGTGATAGTCAAAGTGCTATTCACTTGAGTAAAAATTCTACTTTTCATTCGAGATCGAAACACATTGATGTGAGATACCATTGGATTCGTGATGTGTTAGATTCGAAACTGTTACAACTTGAAAAGGTTCACACGGATGATAATATTTCGAATATGTTGACTAAGACGTTATCGAGGGACAAACATTTGAAGTGTCGAACTTTGGCAGGTATGGTTAATGTCTCCACCTAAGTCAGTAGGGGGAGAATTATTGGGATATACCTCCTTATTGGAGTTTGAGACCCAATTGGTTTATTAAAAGAATTTTAATTTGGTTTGGTTTGGTTTAGGTATAATATATTTTTATATATTATATTTGTGGAGACCTAATTCAATTTGGTAACAACTAGGGTTTTTATTACAAAGTCTAAGATTTAATAATATATATATATATATATCTTGGTTTTGTTGCTTTCTGCCGGTAGGTGTGTGGCTGCCTATTCATATTTGTTGAGATAGTGCTTGGTGCACTTGTGGGTTTGTTATTCAAGCATAAGCTTGCTGTATTGGGGAGCAGAAGTCTTAGATCAAATTTGGTGGTTTTTGTGCGTGATGTGATGCTGTTTTGAAGCTGATTTGGTTTGTTATTTTGGGTCTTCTACAACTCTGGTTTCGAAGACTTTTGTTCATCTATTTGGTGAGGTCTTTCCTCTTGTTTATTTGTGATTATTTGGAATTCACCTATGGGTGGTTTTGTGAGACCATTCGTGTCTCGTTTGTAATCGTTTGGAAACTTTTTCGTTGATAGTGGAATCAGATTTCGATCCCGTGGATGTATCTCACATTGAGGGAACCACGTAAAAATTCTTGTGTTGCTTTTGATTTAATTTTTCTACATTAGTTTTTATTCCCATTGATTGATTTACTTGTGGGGAATCATATTTTCCCTAACATGATTTAGGTTCAAAATGACAACCTAATTTCGTGTAATGGGTTAGTCACTGTGGAGTTAAATCCTTTTGCCCATTCATTTATATAGTGATATCCTATGGGGAGAAATGTTAAGCTGATGCTTTTAATGACCTAAATGTTGTGAATAGTCAACCGTAGTATAGCAAGATACCTTATCTACGTCACTTATGAGTGCGAAGTAGGGCCGCTTCTTTAAGAATTGGCGAGACCGAATTCTTTAAAAACACTCACTGAACCAGGCAAGTGTTCTAGGGTCAAACCGGACACAACAGTAAGAACAGAACGATACTTGGAGTAATTTTTGTGTGAGATCTATTGTCTCAATTTACACAAACAGCAGAACAGTTCAAGACATCACATTTACTGGTCAGCCAGTAAATCTGATAGGTTTTCACTACAAAAGGTTCAAGGCCAACAATTACCTTTTTCTAATCTAGGGTTATTCTATGTGCTCTCTCTTCGAGTCTTTGTTATTAAGTGTTATTCGTTTTTCCTTATTCGGCCAATTTTATTCATGTGAGGGATTGTTGGAAGATAATGATTTTTTGACAACTTTAATTAGAAATTAAAGTGGGATCCAACTGTCAGTTGAGGTGGATCCGAGTGTTTTGTATTCTCTTAAGTGAGAATATTACAATATAAAAATGATGGGCCGAAAGCATTGAGTTGTGAATGAGAATTGTCTCATAAAGTAGGCATCAATAAAAGTTGGACTTAGATTTGGACTTAATCTTAGCTTGGACTGGGCCTAGGCATGCGCTTGTGTTGGTCCTGGTCCATGTGCTGGGTTTGGTCTTGGACTTAATCTTGGGCTTGGGCTAAGTTGTGCTGTATTGGGCTTAGCATGTACATGTATTTGAGATTGAGCTTGGATCGGGTTATGACCCAACATCCGTATCCGTTTTGTGACCCATTTGTTTGAATTATTCAAACATTATTGTATATATATTTATTTGTATATATTAAATACATTGGAGTTTTAGGCTTTTTGTAACTCTCATCGTTTGATGATGAAATTAATGACCATATTAGTGGCCATAGGTTTTCAACCTTTGTAACTCTAACCCTAATGGCTAGAGTTGATGGCATTGGTTAATGGCAATTTGATGACCCTATTAATGTTAGCCTTCATGGCCGAGGCTCTCTTCTACTTGTATAAATAGAGGTTTTTCTCCTCCAACTTAGGAGTGGTTTGGGATGTTCTAAATAAGTGCACTTTTTTAACTTTTTATATATAAAAAAAAATATGTAAAAAAATAAAGAAAGTTGGTAGAAAAGTAGAGAGGAGATGTTGATAGATGTTGATTGATGTGACCCAAATAAGTGTATGTATGCAAAAAAAATGCATTTTTTTAGTTCATGCCAAACACCTACTTAGTAGGTTGTTTGAGAGAGGTTTTTTGTAACGGAAAATTTGTGGTTTCCTTTAAATAAAGTTGGAGATGATTTTTACACCAAATAAATTTTTTCTATTTTTTTTTTTTTGGTAGTCCCTTTTTTGGTTCTTGTTAGAGAGAGTACTATCATTGTCAAGTTTGCCAAAACTATTCAGAAGGTGTTTCTACTCTAGTTGGTTTCGATCGTCGTATCTTAGGAGACAGATGTCGATGTACCTCCAGCACCCATCGGGAGGCGGTGAATCTGTTTTAAGGAAACTGTGATATCACTCAGACTTCGGTTTGCATCCTTCGTCTTTTGTTATTAAAAATTTTAAATTTAAATAATTTCTCATATATTATTTTATATGTCCATTTGAATCCATTTTGTAATATGTTCCATAATGTAATCTCATTCAGTCTTGTATTTTTTTAATTCTGTAGTTTATTATATATTTCATTCTTTAATAATAATAAAAAATAATTATTTTATCATTTCTATTTAATTTTATTATATATATTTTCTAGTATTATTATGGAAAAATACCAACATTTTCTTTTCCTTTTCCTTTCGGGCAAGTACGACAGGTTTCAGCCAAATCTAGATTTCGTTTTTCTTCTCCCGATCGTTGAGCATGATCGACTTAACTCTTTTCGTTGCCCCCTGGCCTCTCACTTTGTTTCTTAATGTCATTTTTAGAATGGATTTTATAATTGCGCAACTTAAAATTGCATTTTCAAGTTTGTATTCTTTCTTCTCTAATTTGTATTCGAAAATCTCTGTATGTATAGTTGTTTGTATCTCTATATACAAGATGGGTTGCATGTGAGGGAGGGTGTTGTTTGGCTCATTTGCTAACAACTAAAGCTTTTGGAACTAGTAATGATATAACACATTTTTGAATTCTTGCATCCAAACCTTGATTCCTGTTCTTTAGTTAGATATGTTATTTTACAAGCCAAACTGCTCTCTAATGGTTCTAGTCTAGTCCCAAAGATGACAAACAATTACCATTCATTGGTTTCATTTACAGTTCTGAAACAGCGTTGAAATTGTCTTTTCAATACTTAATATTGTTCTCTAGTGTTTGATTGCTAACTGGTGAGGAGACCCATATTTCTCTCTGCAGGGCTCACATTTGTTGATGAGTAGGAAGCAACTAATAAACCTTAGAATTTTAATTTTAAATGTCATTTTTAGAATAGATTTTGTAATTGCGCAATTTAAAATCTCATTTTCAAAATGCGAGTTTATGTTAAAATTGCATGTTAAAAATATAATTTCAACTTGTCACATTAAAGCGTTGTTATTCATGTCGACTTGAAATTATATGTTCAAAATGCGATTTCAAAAGTAGATTAATTTCACAAATAATTTGAAAAGTGGATTAATTCTCCAAAAAAAATTTAGAATATTAAAAAAAAAAAAATTCCCCAAACCAGCCCTAAATGACAAGATCAACAATTTCACAATGATTAATTAACAAGATTGACAAGTGATTTATTGATATTATTATTATAAGTTAAAAGTTTCATTTAAAAAAAAAATAAAAATTTTAATAATTTATTACAAAGACAGAATCCTAAAATTAATTATTAAAATTTTTTTTTTTATTAATTTTTATTTCCCTTTTCCAAAAAAAAAAAAAATGGTTCCCAAACAAACAAACCAAATTTATGACAATGTAAAGCAAACCCAACAGAGGGAGCTTGACAATCAATCACCATAGCCATGGACTTGTCGAAGCTCCAATCTAGGGTTTCATCTTCCTACATCCCACCCCACCGCACTCAGCTCCACCCTCGCACCATCCTCTATCCCAACCCCAGGGCCTCTTCGTCTTCTTCCAATCGAGACAAATGCCTCATCCTCTTCGCCTCCCTCTTCGTCTTTCCTTTCCTCTTCTACCTCTTCTACACCGCCCTCGGCGTTCACCAATCCTCCAAATTCGGCGAATCCAAGACCAATCTCTTCGGCATCATCATCAATGCCTCCCCAACCCACTCTCGAATTCACGTCTTCGAGTTCCTCAACCCTGGTTCCACCTCTCTTGAGGTGAAGCCGGGGTTGAGTTGGTTTGCCGGAGATCCAGAAGGGGCTGGAAGGTCGGTTGTGGAGTTGATTGAGTTTGCCAAGAAAAGGGTTCCTAAAAGTGAATGGAGGAATACTGTCATTGTCAAGTTTGCCAAAATTATTCAAAAGGTGTTTTTACTCGTCGTATCCTGAGAGACAGATGTCGGTGTACCTCCAGCACCCATCGGGAGGTGGTGAATCTGTTTTAAGGAAACTGTGATATCACTCAGATTTCGGTTTGCATCCTTTGTCTTTTGTTATTCAAAATTTTAAATTTAAATAATTTCTCATATATTATTTTATATGTCCATTTGAAT